CCCATCCTCTGTTAAAATGCTTCCCAGATATTTGAACTTCTTTACCCGCTTGACGTTTATATCCCCCAATTCGTAACTCGCGTCTTGGACTTTTTTTTAATTTTTTTTATTTCTTCTTGTTTTGCTTTCTTGGTACATTACGACAGTCCTTTTCAGGTTAATCGTGAGAACCAATGCGCTGCATCCCGTTGACAAGGAATCCATAAAATGTCGCATGCCAATCTGAGACTAACAAACAAAATCATAATCGTCGACGTACAGAAAATCGTGCATTTGTGATGAGAACAGCTTTGTTTTGTCAATAAATCATCTTATACTCAGCACCTGAGCTGTTGTTCGATATTTGAAGCAGACCTCATTAGAGTTCTCTTTAAAAGCCATCAAGAAAGCCATAGCAAATTAAAACGTCGGTGATGTTCTATATCCTTGCTTAGCACCATTTCCCATCAAAATTAGATCAAAAAGATTGATATGTGCTTTCATTCCATTTTGGAAACCTCTTAGAAAAGAAACAAACTCTCAGGACATACAAGCTTCATAGCATCTCTGTCATATAGTCAGTCAGTTATGTGTCATGCGTGATACACGCTTAGGCGATCATGTATCTTTCGATACATGATTGACGAGGCAGATTTTTCCCGCAGCAGGTTGCCGTTTCTTTCTGCGGTAGAACAGTTACTAGTCACGTCTATAGAACCCGATACCTCCTACTATTTAGCCGAGGGTGAGAAGAAGAGGATTCATACTTTTCCCAAGTGTGTTAGCATGTAAGTGAATGTAATGGATTCCACTGGAATTATGAGGAATGATATAACAATCCAACACTCTTTCCTTTGTTTCTAAAGAGAATTTTCCGTTTCTCAGCACCTTTCTTAGCTTTTGGAATTCTTATTTCACTATTCCAATATGTGTTCGGATCTCAGTGTCACATTTTCCATCCTCTGTTAAAACGCTTCCCAGATATTTGAACTTCTTTATCCGCATCACGTTTATATCACCAATTCGCATCTTGGGATTTTTCTCTTGCTGATTACCATATATTCTCTCTTCTTACAGTTGATCGTCAATCCTTCTTTCTCACATTCTTATGCCACTCTGAGAAGTCCTGGGAATTCTTGCTTTCTTTCTGTGCCGTGTCCGTTCAGGACGTAGGCGACCATGGCTCTTCACTTCCCCCTATCCCTTGTAGCTCTCAGTAAGTTTTGTCCATTTCCTACTTCCCCCAGGCCATGTTCTGTCAACCACATCTAGGTGTGTCATGCGTTGCTTTCCCTTGTCTCTCTTTACCTCTTTTCGACCTGTGAGTATCAGATTCTCCAGGCCCTCCTTTCTCATTACCTGTCCCAGAAATTTCAGCTGCCTCTTCCTGATGTTAAGTATAAGCTTCCTATTTGTTTGCATCCTCTCTAAGACCTCACAGTTGCTCACACGTTCGGTCCATGGTATCCTTACCATCCTTCTGTAAAACCACAACACCGCCGCCTCGAGTCTCTTCTTCGTCTTTGAGGAAATCGTCCAACATTCGCTATCATAAAGAAGGACAGATGTCACATAACAGGTCAGTATTCTTTTCTTTGTTACCAAAGAAATCCTCCTGTCTTGCAATACTCTGCCCAGCTTTTGGAACGCGTCCTTACCTATCCCAATACGTCTTCGGATCTCAGTATCGCACTTACCGTCCTCTGTCAAAACACTTCCCAGGTATTTAAACTTCCGAACCTGCTTGATTTTAGTGTCCCCGACCTGTAAATCGCATTTCGGGCTCGCCCTTTTACTGATGACCATGCAATCTCTCTCCGTATAGTTTGTGCTTAGTCCCTTTATCTCGCTCTCCTTCGCTACCTTCGGCAGGAGGTTTTGCACTTTGTTTTCCGTGTCTGCTATCAGTATTATGTCATCTGCTTATCTTATGTTGGTAAGATTGTGTCCGCCAATGCTGAATCCTGTCATTTAAGCTCACTTAAATACCTTGAAATCGGCAATTAAGTTCGATGTCAAGTAACTTCCTATTTATAGAATATATACAGGGTGTGATGGATAAATTGTCGCCATTTTATATTTTTATTTGGTGCATGCGCGTTATTTGTTTTTAGATTTGTTGACTGCACAGTAAAGTCGGGTCAGTTGGGCACCGTCTGTGAGAAAAAGCGCACCATGACGCAATTCACTCCGCCAGAAATTTGGAAACGGCATGCTGTACTGCTTGGCATTCGCGCCGGAATCTCCAATACGAATATTTCAGAGTGTTTGGGTGCCAATCTGAGGACAATACAGAGGATCACTAGTGATGGTGACGTTATGCCTCTATTCTTCTTCCCACAGAGCTTTAAACTCAACACGGAGGCTTACATTAAGTGTCGCAAGAATATAGCGCTGCCTTGGGTCAAGAGGGTGGTTGCTGGAAGACCCTATGTCTGGCAACAGGACTCTGCACCATGCAACACAAGCAGGAGAAATCAGTCATGGCTATCAGATAAATTATGTGACCTTACACCCTTTACATCTGGCCACCTAACTCTTCAGGCTGCAACCCCCTTGATTATTACGTGTGGGACGCAGTTAAGCGAGAGACCAACAAAACTCCTTGTAGTATCAAAGATGAACTGAAGGCAAGAATTATGGCAGCATTCACCAACTTAAACAAGGAGACAGTCTAGAAGAGTTGCAAGAGATTCCGAAGTCGTCTGGAGGCCGAAGTTGAAGCCAATAGCGATTTTATTGAATAAATTTACTGTTTAATATTTCAAGATATTTTTGTATAATTTTGGTAAATATATCTGTTAAAATGAGATGTCAGTGTTATTTTCATTTTTTGCATAATTTAGACGACAATTTATCCATCGCAGCCTTTACATATACCGGATGTAACAGCAAAATTGTCCAAGTCGTGTAACAGCAAAATTGTCCAATTGTTAGATTAAGCTCCCGAACGTTGCATCTTAGAAACGATTAAAGATATCTTACTGGAATTCTCCGAATTTTTTTTTATAACACCAATGGACTCTACCTTGAGCAATAGGAATGTAGAATTACTTTCTAAGCTTAACAGAAGAATCGTGATGAAATCGATCATAAATGAAAATGACATGTTTATCATTTTTTGGGGTGATTTTGCTAAATATATCTGTTAAAATGAGATGCCAGTGTTATTTATATTTTTGCGTAATTTCGGCGCCAATTTATCCATCACCCCGTCACACACACACACACACACGCGCGCGCACGCGCGCATATATATATATATGAGATGTCAATATTATTTTCTTTTGCGTGATTTAGACGACAATTCATCCATCGCACCCTGATCTACTAACAATTTCTATATGACTATTAGTTAATATATTAAATATACAATAAAGTTCTTATTGTTTGCACTTATTCAGTCTTTTCGTTTTGGTCATATTTTTTCCACATTAATATTTTTTAATGTTCTGTTTCTGTAATTCTGTAAATTCTGTAATCTGTAATTTTGCTTTTTATATCAACATTCATATATTTTAATATTCCGCTTCTGGAACAAACACAAAGAAACATATATGAATTGGATCATTATTATCGTTATGTGCATTAATGTTGACGACATAATTATATTATTTAATCGTAAATTGAATTGAAAATTGCTTTATTCTTTAAGTTGGATATTTCAGATGTTTTGCACTGGCACAAATCTCGTTCCGTTGTGTAGTTCTTCTGTGTTATGGTACCAAACATACTCACAAGCTGAAATCGGATCATCAAACGGCACATACGAAGTAGACCAAAATTCTCATTCTGTGTTTGTCGTTAAAACACCAATGAACTTTATTGTCACATAAAACACCACTGAATTTTAATGTCGTTAAAACACCAAGGAATTTTACTGTCACATAAAACACCAATGAATTTTATTGTGTAAAAACACCAATGAATTTAACTGTCACATAAAACACGAATGAATTTTATTGTTACATAAAACACCAATGAATTTTATTGTCGTTAAAACACCAATGAATTTAATGTCGTAAAAACACCAATGAATTTTACTATCACATAAAACACCAATGAATTTTATTGTCCGATAAAACACCAATGTATATTACTGTCGTTAAAACACCACTGAATTTTATTGTAAGAGAATGTAAACGCAGTACGAGATTAGCAGCAAGGATCTCATCATTTTCAGTTGAAGATCAAAACGTAAGTTCTATACTAACAGTTTCTTCTCTCGCACTTCTTGCTTGTGGAGCTCTCTATCGGTTTCTTTCTTGAGAGTGAACTTTGATCTTTAAATATTTAAATTCAATGCCAATTATTATCTTCTGTCTTAATTCTTGTCCTTTTAGTGTTCTTTTTCCTTAATATTTCTTTAATATTTTTCTCATATTATCAGTAACCCATTGCGTCGTAGTGACTTTATGGCCTTGCTTGTGATGAAATGATTAAAAAAATAAAAATGGTGATTGCAAAGATTGGTGGCGTTACATGGAGAAAGATGGATGGTAAAGTGTCAAAATTTACTTAGAGCAACAAACGAGAAGAAGTTGGTGAGTGTCATGATCGTTCACGTCCTGAAGGGACAATGCACATAAAAGAAGATATAATTACTTCAATACAAGGCCACAAGTGAGAATTGAACCCACGTCACGAGCGAATGGTCGGTGAGACAAAAGTTCACTGCATTGCTCATTCCCTACTCTTAACAATGTGCATATTATAGTTTTGCACTCTTATTCTCGTTGGTAGCCTCTGGCTGACTTTTTCGCGTGTAGGTCTACACATCTCTGAATTTCAATGTATTAGAACTCCTCGCAACAAAGCCATTCTTAATGATGGGATAGAAAGTAAATATTGCAAAGTGAAGAAACTGTCTCCTGTCGTTTTGGTAAGTTAAGAAGTGGAAAGAAAATATGAAGATATTCTTCAAAGTGTGAAAAACGGTTCAAGAAATCTTTGAGGTTAGCGTGGAAATGCGGGTTCCATGAGGACGCAAACATACAATTATCCAATATTTCCGTTCAGTGTTAAGCTAAAATGTACTTCATAAGACCAATGTTAATCAAAGAGGAAGGAAAGGGGCAGGGAATAAACACAGAAGGAGGGGGGCATTGAGATGAAGCAAGATGAAGAAAAAAGACATTGAGATTAAGGAATACAAAGAAGAAGAAGAGGAGGGGGAGACGGGGAGGAAGAAGGAAGAGGAGAAGAAGGTTAAGAAATACAAAGAAGAAAAAGAAAAGACGTTGAACCAATAAAATTAAAGAATACAAAGAAGAAGAAGAGAGAGAAGGAGAAGAAAAAGAACGCAGAGGAAAAGAAGAAAAGACACTGAGGTTAAGGAATACAAAGGAGAAGAAGAAGGAGGGAGAAGGGGAAGAAGTAGTAGTAACAGGAGAAAAAGAAAAGACATTGAGGTTAAGGAATGCAAAGAAGAAGGAGGAGAAGAAAAGACAATGAACCAATGAACTTAAGAGATATAAAGAAGAAGGAAGAGGAGAAGAAGAAGGAAGAGTAGAAAAAGAAAAGACATTGAGATTAAAGAATACAAAGAAGAAGAAAAGACATTGACAAATGAAGTTTGAAGGATTACAAAGAAGAAAAAGAAGGAGAGACAGAGAAGAATACAAAGGAATACAAAGAAAAATAAGAAGAAAAATAAGAAGAAAAGACATTGAACTAATGAAGTTAAAGAAGAAGAAGAAGAAGAAGAAGAAGAAGAAGAAGAAGAAGAAGAAGAAGAAGAAACTGAATTCAGGGAATACAAGGACGCACAAAAACAGAAAAAGAAGAAAAAGAAAAAGAATGAGGAAAAGAGAATAAAGCAGAGTTACGAAATACAAGGATGCACAAAGAGGCACAAGGAAAGTAGAAGATGTAGATAAACGGATAGGATTATCTTTCAGGTGTAGATAGGCGTAGATAAACGGGTAGGATTATCTTCCACATTCTCATCCTAGAAAGTGGAAGATAATCGTAAATACGGATGAAGAGAGTGAAAGAAACAGAAAATTAAAAGTATTAAGAAAGGAAATAAAAGAGAAAGAGTAATGAATAGAAAGGAGGAGAAATTAAAATCGAACAAGTGGAAGCGGGGAGAAGAGGAAATTATTGAGGAAGACGACGAAAAAAATGGAAATGTATCGTCTGTGATGAGATGGAAGAGAGAAAAAACGAAAAAAAGAAAAAAGATAAAGATGAAGGCAAGAAATAAGAGCAATACGTAGGGGTGACGAACAAGAGGAGGAAGAGGAGAATTATTTAAGGAGGAAAGAGACGGAAAGGAAAAGTAGCAAAATGGGGACTGAGAGAAGAAGAGGGTGGAGAGAAGGAGGAAGTGAGTTAGAACAAAAAAGAAGAGGACAAGAAATAGGTGAGGAAATGTACGAGGAGGAGGACGGGAAGATGGTGGAGGGAGGAATTATGAAGACGGGGAGGAGAAACAAAGAAAAAAGGAAGGAAGAAGATAAGAAAAGATGGAAGAAGTGAAATATAGTAGGTGGTGGGAAAGAAAAAGATGATTATTATTAGAAGGTGGGAAAAGAAGAAGATGATAAAAATTATTAGGGGGAGGGGACAGTTGATAAAAGGGAAAAGAAAAGCGAAAGAAGAAGAAGAAGAAGAAGAAGTTAAGGAATACAAAGAAGAAGAAGAGGGAACTGGAAGCAAGAAATGGAAGCAAGAATTGATTGAAGAAACGTTTACAGGAAATAAAGTTATTGATGGTCATAGCAATAATGGCGGAATTTGCGACAGATAGAAAAAAATCTAACAATTTTTGCTTGCTATGTCAATCCTTGACTTTAAACAATCTCCATCATTCATAGAAAGAAAATTGACCAAAATTGAATAGGAGACACGGACGCAGGTGAAAGTTGAAAGACGACGATTCAGTGTATAAAAGAAGAAAATATCCGTTTGCAGAGCATTGCCACTCTGGTCTTGCAAATTGGCTGAGAGCAAATTTCAGCCTTACAGCACAGACATGTAATATCCGTACGAACTGGGATTACCTTTCTCGTTCATTTGAAGATTCTAGTCAATTTAAAATGAAAAATGAGAGAAAAATATTCTGAATATAAACAAGGATCACTCGCCCTAAGGTGAAATTAGAAATGAACTTCCAAAGTAATGATATATATATAACGTCTAAAGCAATGATATATATATATATATATATATATATATATATATATATATATATATATATATATATACACACACACACACACACACACACACACTACGGCATCACAATTACCGTTACCGTATCAGTCCACAATTATACGCACTCCTCCCTCCCCCAGCAAAAGTACTATCACAGCATAAATACTAATAAGTATTACAAGTTGGGGTCTCTACCATTTATATATGCGCAATAATCAAAAACAAGCAAATAACCGGCTTTAAAATAATAACAAAGCAACCTTAAAAAATAGCAATTTTTGCCTACCATAGTCTTACACAGACCCCATTATACGTATATACGTCTGTGCGATAAAACATTAATCAGCGAATAAAAAAGAA